AACGTGGAGACTATTCTGGCGCGAAACAGTAGTATTTCCTCTTCTTTTCCTTTCCTTCTAGCCTCTCTAACAGCAGTGCTAGCCGGCTCTCCACTGCTTGGTGCCGCAAACAGAAATCGATAATTCTGGTACAGCTGTTCGCTCGCTCCCCTATTCCACTGCGAATCCTTCACATAAGCCTGACAATGTCACTTATCCCCGAATTTGATGGCCACGGTGGAATCACCAGTTGATTGAGAGCTCCTATATACGTGACCAAAGGTAGAAGGCGTAGTTGGGAGAAGACGTTGTGCTTTATAGCAAAGCTCAAAGAAGTGAGTTTGCAGATGAGGAAGAAGCAACTGCAGCCCACCACAATCCCAAACAACAATAGTAAGCTAACTCTGCCTATAAAGTATAGAGCCCTATGCAGTAGAGACCTTCCAGTGAGTGGATGAGTCGATGACTCCAGCGGTGGCCCATGCAGAACCTGAATATTTTCCTCTTACTGAAAACGCCGAGTTCCTAGTGCTACCTCTCCGCTCGGTTTCCCTCTTACCGGGAGGTCATCTTTCAACAATGCCCTTGGACAGTGGACAAGATAGAAATCATTCATATAGTTCCATATAGTTTGCAGTAGCATAGGGCTTGGCGAGAACATTAGTGTCGATACTCCTGATATGTATACCATCGTTCTAGAAGCTCTGAGGACCGTCTTTGCTCTCCATTGTCCATCATCACGTTGTCTCATACAGAATAGGCCGGCCAGGAGGAATACAAGCCGTAGATACATATACGATAAACTACCGAGCTCGATCACCACCTGAGCCCTCCACTAAGTATAAGGTAGCAAGAGGAGCCCTCGACGGCCTTACTTGAGCTATGAGAATGCTTAAATGCTGGAAGCATCTCCCATTAGCATCTTTCTTGCACTGTTCAGTCATCCCCTGTTCATCATAGCCCCGTCCATACAGAAGCAGTTCAACCAAGTTAAGCATCTTCACTGCGTTATATACTTCTATAAAAGTGTATACTATCAACCATGTATTCAAAGCGAAGGTCAAGAGGCGTATAAACGCCAAGAAGTATCTATTGTTAACCCCTAGCTGTGTATGATCTGTCTCGCCCCTCATAAACAGGATACCAATGTTTCGTGTCTGGACTGCAGCGCTCTGGAATTTAACGCCGCTGGCCACCTTCAACGTGTCTTCCGTATGTTCATCCTGCACGATCCTCGAACGCTGCTGCTGAACGCTATTATCATCGTGTAACCGCATGAGGCAGCCACAAGATCAACTAGAAGTGGAATGCACGAAAAGTGCACAACAGTTCCCATACACAAATCAATTTACGAACACCGAGGTGGGTTTGCATCCGATGAATCCAGCGCTAAAGTCGCGAGCCTGACACTACTTGAACATGTGCGGGAGAAAATTTCAGACAGTTCCATCTAGTGAGATCAATCGCCAGTTTTTATACATCTTGAATGTTATCGAAGAGCGCTTTGGTGGTGCGGCCAATTTTAGCAGTAGCGGTGGCAGGGCTCCGACCATTCACAACATGGAGTGATCATGCTATTATTGCAAGTAGGAGAACACTTTACATCAGGGTGGAGATGTTTCATTCGCAGAGATGATTAACAAGAAGTTCCCAAACGAAGACCCCAGGGGCGTCCAAAATCGTAGGATACCATTGCTCGTGAAAAAGACAGAATTCGAGGTATCTGGCGGCCCTCCAACAGCAGACCAGTTATCTGTGGTCAAGTCATTGTGGCTTGAAATGTACGAGAGACGACTGCATGACGCAGCCTTCGATGAGGCCGCCGACTCGGGCGAGCAGTGCGACGGTGAACTCCATTCCTGGCGAAAAGACCGGATGGACACCGAGAAGGATCCAAGCAAAGTTGTTCCCGATTTGGCGAGCGCTCAAAGCGTTCAGAGAGCTAGAAAGGCCGAGCAGGAGATGCTTAATCGATTAAAGAAGTAGTCACTATTCGCTCTTGTACCACACAACTATCGTCATCATGCAAAGCTGGGATAAAGTTTTATGCTTCCTTTATGTGGTCTCGAGTTTGGCTTATATCATTCATCGGGTCAATGTTATGGATAGGTTTATTACTTGCTGAGGGCTACTGTCTTTCACACTGTTCTATCTCGATATGATTTCACTCTGCTAAGATTAGTACGCCATGAGAGCCCCCCGCTGTTCGTGGGCATATATTGTGTGTCAGTGCCTTTAATAGCCACCCTTGCCTGAACTACATATTGTGGCTCAGTCGCGCGCGTTGTCCTCAGGGGCAGTAGGAATTGCCCCGCTGGCCAGATGATTGCTAATTGACTATCCATGATCGCTCCTACTGTGACATTCGACTTTGTTCGTTTTCGGATGGCAGCGACGCTGCTGGTTTCATAGTCAGTCTGAGCCACGAGCACTTCGTAACTTAACCGTCTTCGGTTCGTTTCATTCATCTGTCCACTGCGCAGAATCCAGTGTCTGCAGTTCTCGAGGCAGGTGAGTTCTCCGATCACAACTTGGTCTACGAGACCATGCGACACCTCATGCAAGACGTGCTCACTGGCTCAAGTGGCCGGCCAAACCACTACACTTTATCGCAGACGGGCTCAATAATGGTGGAAAGGAAGGTAGGTTGACACATCCAAGTCGGCTACACTAACTGTTAGGGTGAGTGAGTGATGTTTTTGACTGAAACCCTTCACTAGGTTCGCACTGTTGGTCCGCCAATTATCGACCTAAATGGCCTTTCACAGATGCGAATGTCGATGACAGCGGTGATGAAATACTCTAGAGGCTTCATGAGAAGCACATCCATGTAGTGAGAGATACCAAGTTGGTTCACACTAACAATTATTATGAATCGATGCACAGGTATGGCAAACTTTTGTGAGTAAATAATCTTCAGAGATACGACAGGCTGTCGTATTCCACAAGTATATTACACGTTTGTCGCACAGACGTGTACGGCTTGGAAAAAGCTGTTCTTGTGAGGGCAGAGGGACTCTGTATTCTTTCATCACTGTGCACAGTTTCCTTGACAAATGTCCACAACTGTTGAACACAACCTTTATTCGATAGTTGATCTACGATCTGGTCGTATACTCAGCATCATATTGTCCTCGGAAATAAATACGACTGTGCTGATGAGTGCCAGCAAAGTGGCCAAAATATGTCGAGTACAGAAGAGAATAGTGAGAACAGAACTGGCTGCATGAACCAGGGCTGTTCGGCGGATGAAATACAAAAAGATCACATGTGGATATCGAGTCTCCACATCGAGATCGTAATCATCTAAAGGGGCAGTTGCTCGCCCTCAGCGTGAACACTTTGCCGTTTTTCTTCGGCTGAATGGTAATGCTGTCAGCCCTATTATCATACGAAATATGCCTCCAGTTCTCAACAGCCCAATTTTGTGACTCGGCGGCATGAACGAACCGCATGAAACCAATTTTGGGCGCAACGAATCTTTCATGGTCCTTTTCGAACTCCTCGTAAGGGATGCCATATACGATAGGTCTGCCGTACACAAGAACGCTAAAGGTATCCCTAAGCCATCTGGGTGATCGAGGGAAGCGGAGAGCGAACTCGTGTCCAGAATGACTCGCTTCTTTGGAGCAGTAATACTCACTGGGCGGGAATTCGGTTCTATAACACCAAACCACGTTGAGGAGGGCAACGGAGACCACCAGACGAGAGATAGTTGGGTTCATAGTGAAGTATCACTGAAACAAATCCTTGGAGATGTACAGACACAGTTGTGTGTTGTGCAACTCGACACTAGTAGCCGATGACAGCCGTAGACACTAAGCTACCAGAAAATCGATCAATTCACGTGGGCAGGCCAATTTGGACACAAACGTAACGTGGTTACCATGGGCGTCACCTTCACGCACAAATCACAGCGACCTGACGATGTGGCCATCCTTCCCAGATGACTCAGCGAAAGGAAATTGATTTGAGACAGAAATAGCTGATGCAGCATCCGTGACGCTAATCTCAGATAACCATGTCGTTTATGGATGTAAAAAAGCTTACATAGAGAGCATGACGAGACATTATCTCTGAGACAATGATGTACACGATACTCGTGACACGATGCAGGGAAGCTAGCGAAACGGGAAATCTACGTCCCGAACACGTAGGGTCGCAGATCAGTGTAAGGTCACGTCACCGATTGCGAGTTGATTTGAGCTCTCAGTCACCATTGGTAAACAGCTCAACACTTGGCGCTAGATTATGTACTGGGGCTATAATCTTTAGCAACGGTCTTGAAATGCTCGAAGGTCACATCAACCCTCACGAAAGTCAGTGAAACAAAGCTAAACTTTCCGATAGGGATTCTATAGGTGCCGACTTGTGTGTGGTTGGACAAGGTGAAGATGCTCATAGTGTTAACCAACGATCCCACTGGGAACAGGAGGCTCCATTCGAAGTCCGCGTGCTCGGCCTGTCTGCTACAATAGCGGACACTCGGCGGGAACTTACGCAACTTAACGTCGATAGACAGGACCGCAGGGATCAGCAGATGGGGAGGAGCTGTGTACACTCCAGGACCGCAAGGATCAGTAGATGGGGAGGAGCTGTGTACACTCTGGAGTCTTGCATATCATATGTGCGCGTACACTTGTCTTTTGGTGTATCCTACACCTTTTAAAGTCCTATTTCGCGTTTAGTGAGATCAATCTCGCAGCGCGCGCCATCATCCGAGCCAAAATATGCCTTAGTAAGATCAATTTCACCAGCGCGCTCGATAAAATAATCAGTCTCGACGACACGTGACCTAATGTCATAATGCGAAATTGATTGTACTAATGACACTGTCATTAGTACAATCAATTTCGCCGGCATGTCTGGAGTAAGTTCAATTTTGACGGAAGGTGGAAATCGATTTCGCGGATAGTATATTCAATTTCGCTCGATGGCAAGTTTTCGCCAAGAAGATACTTCTGGGAAGATGTTGCGCAGCTTGTCATCTGTAGTGCTTCTCTCTCGCGCTTATTTCTTCCATGAACCTCCAAGGAGGCGTCATTGAGCAGCTGCTGCTTAGCAGCAAGTCCAGGCGGAAGTCGGCCCTGAAGAAGGTTCCCTGCGTTCCCTATATGGCCGGCAACGGATCCAATTCCTCCAATAGTGGTACGGTTCGCTTAGGCAAGACTGGTGTTGAGTACGTCGACGATTGTTTCTGACCGAGTCTTGATTCTCACTCTCCTCACGAAAGATGCGAATTTGGATGACAGCGGTGATGAAATACTCTAGAGGCTTCATGAGGAACACATCCATGTAGTGAGAGATACCAAGTTGGTTCAGACTAACAATTAGTGTGAATGGAGGGCATCGATTCGATGCACAGGTGTGGCAAAGTTTTGTGAGAAAATAACCTTCAAAGATACGACAGGCTGTAGTATTTCACAAGTTCGTCGCACAGACGTGGACGGCTTGGAAAAAGCTATTCTTGCGAAGACAGAGGGACTCTGTATTCTTCCATCACTGTCCACACTTTCCCTGGCAAAACTCAACTGTTGAACACAACCCTTATTTGATAGTTAATCTACGATCTGGTCGTATACTCAGCATCATATTGTCCTTGGAAATAAATACGACTGTGCTGATGAGGACTGTGCCAGCAACCTGGCCAAAATTTGTCAAGCACACAAGAGAATAGTGAGAACAGGCCTTGCTGTATAGATCAGGGCTATACGGCCGATGAAATACCGAAAGTTGAGTCGAAGAACATGTGGAGATCGAGCCTTCAATTGAAGCAAGATCATTATCATCTGATGGGGCAGTTGTTCGGGCTCAAAGTGAACACTTTGCCACCTTTCCTCGGCTGAATGGTAATGCTGTCAGTATCATTGTCATATGGAATATGCTTCCAGTTCTCAACGGTCCAATTTTGTGACTTGGCGGTAGGGACGAAATGTATGGAATTCATTCTGGGCGCAACAAATAATTTTTCGCCCTTCTCGAACTTCTTGTAGGGGATGCCATATACGACAACATTGCCGAACTCAAGAACGCCAAAGGTATCCCTGAACCATTCGGGTTTTCGAGGGAAGCGGAGACCGAACTCGAATCCATGTCGAAGGGCCTCCTTGGAGCAGTAATACTCATGGGGCGGGAAGTAGGCTTCACACCAGACCACGTTGAGGAGGGCAACAGAGACCACCAGACGAGAGATAGTTGGGTTCATAGTGGAGTATGACTGGAATAAATCCTTGGAGATGTACAGACACAGTTGTGTTGTGCAACTCGACACTAGTAGCCGATGTGACGTGAAAGAAAGAATACTTTTTGAGGGGTTGGCCTGGTTTTAGCTACGGGAAAATCCATCAATTCACGTGTGTAGGCCAGTTTGCACACAACCTTGTGCGTCACCTTAACGCACAAATCACAGCGACCTGACGATGTGGCCATCCTTCCCAGATGACTCAGCGAAAGGAAATTGATTCGAGAAAGAAATAGCTGATGCTAATATCAGATAACCATGCCACCTATGGATGTAAAAAAGCAAACGTCGATAGACAAGACCGCAAGGATCAGTAGATGGGGAGGAGCTGTGTACACTCTGGAGTGTTGCATGTACGCGTACACTTGTTTTTTGTTATACCCTAACACACAGATGAGAGAGATCGGAGGACATGACAATAAGCTCACGAATAAGTGCATGGTGTTACGTCGGACGTCCGTCCCCGTATCATTTACGTCATGGCCTATCATCTCATGTCTTACGACTCGTAAGACAAGCTTACGCGCATTCATACTGACTGGGCTGCGCTCACATCATCATTTGGCTTCTGAAGCGCACACACTCTACGCTAGCGGATGCTTCGTGCGGGTCGTCTCACGTGACCCGCGAAATTTCTTGCACAACAATAAACATCACTAAGAAACGTTTATTCGACTGAGAGACCAGAAAATATCCGAGAACTGCCATCACTCGATCGCCGTTCCATAAATGTCCCGATGAACTTGCGCGGGCAGAGTAAACTGTGTTCTGTGTAGCTTTGTGCTGTAGTACTTCAACTTACCCGCCATCTCCTTGGGGACAGTGCGGACAGGCTCATCGGCCTTCACCCCCTTACCCTTTGCTAACACCAAGCATCCAATCTGGAACAAGGCTCTGAGGACCACAATAGAGGAACAGAACAGACCTTACTTGTCCACAAGGATACGTAGGAATACGAACATCAGCGTAGCGGACATCAGTGAAGTGCTTCCTGGAGTGCTCGATCAAACGGCGTATCAACGGTATACTCAGATGGTAGCATTCACCTTGAGTTGCGGCAACACCGTTCGGACTGTAATGAAAAAGAGCTCTGATGAGCATTGCATCACATCTACATCCTCACGTTAGCGCATTGTATATGGCATCATAGAAATCATTCTCGAACAAAGTCGTAGCCGGTCCTATGGGGTCGCTCGTGTCACAAACGATAATGTCAAACTCGCTCGAATGGCGCTTCATGAAGGCAGCGCCGTCCTCGAGATGAATCTAACAAAAGCCGCTTCCACTAGCAGCAACATGAGCAGCACGACTAACAGTACGCGAACTCGAGGATCGTCGAAGGCAACTGACAGCTGCTTCATGTATCGTCGTGAGACTTCGATGACCTCTCCGTCGATCTCACATATGTGGAGCTCCGTGATAGACGCATGCCTGATGAAGTGTTATTGTGATGATAATCGTGATAATGAGCCATCTCGCAGCACTTGGCTAGTTCTCGGAGGATCCCACCATCTCCACCACCGATGACCAGGACTTTCTTGGGGTTGGGATGTAGGAAGGCAGGCGTATGCGCCATAGCCTCCTGGTAACTAAAAATGTTCAAGCTGCTTAGAGTCTCACTGCTATAGATATGAACTCTGACCAGAACTCGTCCTTATCAGTGGTTTGAATGATTCCATCTAAGCACAATACTCTCCCCCATCTGAAAATTGAAGAAAACCTCAAAGGCTCGCAGCATGCACTGGCAGGTGTGCTCACGTGGTTGAGTCGAAGACTAGAACATCCTGGAACTTCGACCTCTTGTGATAGAGGATCTGCGAAATCTCGAGGCTCATCGACTGAGTCAATAGAAAACAATTCACAATATCATTGTGAGGCCGAGACGCTCACTTGGCCTGGCCACATCTGTTCAGAAACTTCACTGAACCACATTCGCCCTCCTTCGCTTGGAAGCTGCGAAATGCCCTGAGGTTAAATACAGACTGCCAACCCCAAATTGTCGTTGCTGCCCACCTCGCCCCGCGCAGCATCATGAGATGAGAACCTCCGGGAATAAGCAACTGCTACGAGCCCTCCGACCAAAGCACCACCGATGCCAACAGCAGCGTAGGTCGTGATGGAGCCAGCTGAGGGAACAGGGAGTGGTAACTCCATCTACAAATAGCTGTAGGTTAAACTGATATCGAGGAAGCACGTGTAGTGAGTGGACCACCTAAAGATATCACGAGGAAATCTGATCAATGAAATGACACCAAAAAACGATTCAACGAGGGGCGCGAGAAACGCGGCTAGCTATTGCGGTGTATGATACTGTCGCAGCGCCAACGTCGCTATGTATACCTTCCACTGGAGGGCTGCAAAAGCACATGGACCATGTGATATGGCCATTTGAACTCCCAAAGTCCAGATTCTTGGAACTATAACACAATTCATTTCTGCAGAAATTGTTATATTGCTGGCGCCAGTCTTCACTTCTTAACGCCAAATTTATCAGTCAGCATTTGAGCAGTGCTCTTATCAGTTGTTGCAAATGCATTGACGAAGCCATTCTGCATCAGAGCATTAGTGACCATACCTAAGCGAAATCCCAAAGTAGTGTTTGACAACTACCAAGTATTCCGCCCACTACCAGCTCGCACTCCCTTCTTACAGTACACCAGGATGGGCCGAGTCTTGTCAGCACCAAGCTCCTCTATTCTCTCCCCTATAAGTTGAGTTGGGATATTGATCGCTTCGGGGTGATGCCCTACATCATGATCACAAGCCTGTGGAGCACACGAGCCACTCCACCACATACCTTCGCTGAACTCCATCTCGGATGTCACATCGAGTACCAGCAGGTCCGGCTGTGCTATGGCCTTTTCCAACGGTAGCGCTGGTCTTTGCTGAGCACCTGATGACGACCCCTCCAGCACCTTTTTTCGAGATGTATGCTTACCTGTCGCGAAGGCACGGACAGGGCAAGCACGTGCAGCTGCAAAGATAGTGCGGACTCCTGTTTGGCGATAGATTGACGAGAGCATACAGAGTGCGACAACGAAGAAAAAATTGATGACTTTCAATGTGTGAGTCGCCAACAAAAATGTCTCCTTTCCTGCAGAGAGTTTCCTTAGGGATCTTATACCATCGAACTTCACACGCTTCCACCTAGTTTACATTGCCCGTCACAGGGGCATCCATCTCCACGGCTTGGATGTTCCACATTGGACATGCGTATTCCATGCATGTAGACCGGCTTTCTATTGCCTTTCTATTTACTATCTACTGCTTTTAGACGGGGCTAGCTACTCGTAATCAGCCCTAGACGCTCCAAACCTTGGGATCCAAAGGCTGTTAGCACTATGGACATGCCAGACCATGAGCGTTGACTGTCCTCAAAGGGCGCTATATGTTATCATCCTCCTGGCGCTAATGAGGCGCAATTTGAGGCGCCGTATCAGCGCCTTAGAATGGACTTGGAGGATTCAGTGGTTCTCCATGAAGTCCTATAAAGGAGATTCGCATGCAATATGCTTAGCCTATCACATAAGCTATCTTCTAGCCACTGATTACCCTACAATCAGCGGCTACCTCCCTTACTAAATACCGCTCCGATGATGACGATGAGCGACCCTCATAATAAGACTAACAACAACACTCATATAAGGCAACTGGCGTTATTGTTGTTGTAATGATAATGATGACTACTTGCAATTATGCAATGATAATATGTAGAATGGTGACAATGAAAAGGTAGTCTCCGGAAAGACCCGATCCTCAATAGTATTCGTCCCCAGACTCAGCAGAGAGGAGCTTATGAGGCTACTCAGACGCCACGTCGCTACTTAGGAAAACAATAGCTCAAACAAGGAGGTCTTCTCTTCACCCAACCGTTGGGCCGCCATCCATGCTCCTAGACGCTCGTTGGGGACCTGTACACCACCACAATGAGCAGTATTGAGCACTCCCCAGTGTTTTGCCTCTTACCACTGTCTCCGGTAGTTTCATATAGTAATCAAAGAACTTATTCTCATCGAATAAGCGCTCATCTGGTGGCGAGGTAAGAATCTCCAAACAGCCTCCGAATCCGGAAGTCATCAGAGCATGCTCATGATACCGTAGTAGTGCTAATGCACAAGTGAACACATGAGCCTCACCAAGGAGCAAGAACCCATCCCTGAGCGGAAACTATAGTAATTATTAATACCGGACTAACATTAGAGTTTCACCCGTGATATGAGAAACGCTACTGGAAAACCTATTTCACGACTACTCCATACCGCGAATATCGCGTTTTTCACACCACTTCACGTAAAACGAATGAGACTCCATAGAAATGCTTACCACATACGACAGACCGCATGAAACGGCATACATCGGGTGAAGACACTGGTCAACCAGGGGAGGAAGTACACCTCTGGGGTTAGCTGCAATATCGAAAAATGCTTCTCGAGGAAAGGCGCCCTCTCCCGCAGTAGAACCTACGACCAACAACGTCGTGTGCATACACGATCCGGGGGCCCCAAGGTACCTCAAGAAAATCAAATCGCATTTTCATATTCCTTCGCTTCACCATGTACACATCGAGGAAGTAATATTGATGCATTAAATTTGCCAGAGTACAGAAAACTTGTCCGACTGGATGAGGTCCGACATTGACCAACACGGTGGCGCACAGCGATATCATGCCAGGAACGTACCCTGACAAAACTCTCACCAATCAAACACATATACTTCCCTCCTTACCAACATCCGATCTATACACAATGAACGCCTTGATGAGATCCGACAATAATATCAGCAACCCTTTCCGGATCATCGCATCCTGGAAAAAAATCGGAAAAAAGTTCGAAAAAAACCCCGCAGTTTACCTCTCCAGACGTGTCCGCTCTCCCTCCACCTATCCATGCATTCTCCCACGGCTCACTCCATGTTCTCTTTGTACTCAACTTTTTACTCACGGCCAGCTTTCGGCATCTTTCACAGATCACAGTCGAGTCCCCAAATCTAGAATGTGATCCAACAGAAGTCGCCGCGTCTGTCTGTGGATGGACCGATGATGGTCCGCCTATGGAATCCGATGGTGCCCTTGAGCGTATAGTGTTAGGAGTAGCCAGGCCATGAGCAGGACTCGGTATCGCCTCCACAGCAACGCCGCATTCGTCACACCCTCGACTAGGCCTCCCCCCATGCCCATCAAGATCTTCATCACTATCACACTCACAATATCGGATCCTATCCTCCTCCTCATCGTCATCAGAGCCACTTGACTTCGATCGCATCATGCGTTGGTCGTCCATAATACTTTCATGGGCCCTCATCCGTCTATAGCCGTCCTCTGTAGCGGCATCCAGAAAGCCTTCGAGCTGCTCTCGTGTCGCAAAGGTATGCAACCACTGCACAACCTTCCCTATAAACGCCTGTGCTAAATCCGACTCCAAATCGTTCTTGAATCGGGCCAGGTAAGTACGCTGCGATTGGCTCCACGAATTTCTTCGCTCCGCCCTATGAACTTTTCGCGTCAACGTGGAAAATGTATCCGATGTAATTCTCAGATTGTTTCCTATCGCAATCGGCCATATTTTACACCGCAATGCCGGAGGCAAACCTACGAGAAAGCAACATCGAAAAAGGAAATAGCCGGAGACGACTCTAACCTTCAAGCCATAGATTCACCAGTGTTGGCGTCCTTGCCGTTTCCAGTCTCTGGCCTCTGTCGAGGGCGAATCCTCCAGAATAAAACATTTGGAATGTGAGAGCCTCATTGGGCTGCCGATCGCTGACTATTATCCTATGCGTAGCGTTTTCCAACATACGCAGGCCTCTACTACGGAACCCCTCGGGGTTTCTACTCTGAGTTCCGGACCCAGCCTGAGCACCTAGTAGGACCCACAATACGGATACTCCCTTACTGAGAATTAATGTTGCTTATGATACCGTAAAATGCAAAATCCGCAATTTTCTAAATTGCGAAGCAAATAATTATGCGCATCTAGATTTTCGATATGGCTTTCTTCAATCTAAGAGTACGACTAAAGACTACAGAAAGCTTCCAACACATTGACGATCGATCCACATTGTTATCATGTTGAAATTACTCAAAGTTGACTCTCGAACTCTCAGAATATGAAGCCGTTGCTTTGCATAGCAATTTGGTTTACACTATAGACATCCAGAAAGCACCCCACACGACAATAGCCTTCTCTTTTCCCACACTACCGGTAGTCCAATGCTTAGCCCAGTTAGGCAGTATCTCCTCCTTCCATCTCCTCAAACGCTTAGCCCCTGCACGCTGCATCTCTAGGGCCTCCTTAACAGGGTCAGCGCTAGCCCGTATCTTAGCTTCCCTTTCCGATAGCACATAATGGAAAAACCTCAACCACATACGCATGTCCACACCAGGCGGTGCCTGACGGAAAAAAACTCCACTCTTTGATCTACCTCCGCCAGGCTACTTGCAGATCTAAAGACCTTTTCTCAGTGATTATAGAAAAGCAGCGATCTTCCACCGTCTCGGGCACCCACTGTTTCCGAAACACACTAGACCCCGACGTGCCCACACATAGTCCCGTCACTTCATCCAGCCGTATGTTGCGCAGACTGTGGGTTGCCGAAACTCCAGTAGTAGCTAGATCGCCAGCGCCTGAGGTTGCGTGCCCTCCAACCACTACCGAGCTGAACTTCTTCTACCTGCTATTGGCATAGCCTTGCCAGATACCATCAGTTCGCTAGTAGCACCCGGACTGCGGCCCCCGGTACCACCGTTGCTAACCTCAGAAGCAGGCGGGGCCGTAGCGGGCCGACCACCGGTAACAACTGCCCTGCCGCGTGGCACGGCAGCGTCATGGTTGAGCAACGAGCCTAGCCGACCACCCCGAGACTCCGTAGGCTCCATCCAGCATATTCTACTCTCATCCTGAAGGTGAGTTCCAACCAACTACATGCAACGCGATGCACTACCTCTGATAAGAAGACGCGTCGTGGATGGGGTCGTCCTCTCCTGCCAAATTTCAAGAAGTTGTCGCCCTTTTTCATTCGATGAATATCTTCTGCTGATGCTGCTACATTTTTCTCATCAGCTGAGTACTGAGGATTCTTAGCCAACCGCACATACCTACAATTGTGAACATTTTCCCCCTCATTTTTCATCGACCCCAAGCCACATTAGTTCCTGCGGAGTAGTGTCTGGTCGGAATTCCTTAGCTACTATTCTATCGTACCTGACATCATCACAGTCCCCCACTATACGTAATCAGTGGCCTTACATTTGCCCAAGCTCCTCAGCCGTACACCCTGGGCTGACTTCGGGCATGGTATTGTTGATAAATTGGTCTCTAGTCATTTTGTCCGTAACTAGAGGGTTATGGGCATCCACGTTAAGCATAATGAGAGCGTAAGCCAGGATCTGAATAACGACTAGCATCAGCATCATTGTCATAGTGAGATCGGTTCCTGTACATGAACTTGGTCTCGATTGAGGGAAGAGCAAGTAGCAGCATAGTAGGTAGAGAAACGTTCCAGTATACGATAGACCTGTTGGCCTCTCCAGGCATGGCAAATCTAAGGGGAGAATTAATACATAACAGACAACATCCTGAGGACCCACCTGCACATGAACAACCGGAGGGCCTCATCCGCTGGCAGATCTCGGTAGTCGAACAGTTGGGCGAAGCGATTGAGGACCGCTATATTGAATTCATTATCTTTCCCCTGACACATCACCGCAAGTCGTTACACCCACTATGGAATCGTAGTAGTAGTACCAAATATTCTCCTATGACGTGCTTATCCAGATTTTCTTGCTTAGCCAGGAACTCCGCGATTTCCGCAGGGTCGTCGTCTAGAACCCCAGCTGATATCAAGTATTTTATACCATCTTTTGCTGAATTGTTGAATCGTAATACACCTGATCCCAATACGAGAGCAATGACCACATGGACTTCACCCCAATACTACAATTACCAGCATCAATTATCTTTCGCAATTCGAGATCTGCTTTGGACGTCGTTGCTGTTGGTGACTGTGACAGTGTCGACATTACACTTTTGATTCCCCCAGCCGCTCTCTCCCCCAGATTCGATCCACTTATGACTGTGGCTACTCCTACTGATGAGCTCATCCCTATTGATGCGGCTACGGCCATCAGAATACTACAATTATTGTCAAAGCCGGTGACACAACAACGACGCCTTGGATTCACTTCTTTGCATCGCTCCGTCTACAACGCATTTTTTGTTTACCATTGTTCGATCTATGATAAGCTCGAAGTCGATCGATTCGAATGAGCGGAATAGGAAATGCAGACTGTCTTGTGAAAACAGAATTATAGACCTCTGACGTAGTGGATTATAGTGAGAGTCACAAGTGAAACGTTCATTGTCCATAACCAGTCAAATAATGGAGTGTCACCCGTTTCACGTGAAGTGGCGTAATACTCGGTGAAAAACGCGATATTCGCGATATGCGGTAGTCGTGAAATATGTTTGTCACTAGTTTTTCCATATCACGTGTGAAACTCCAATGAACATAACCCGCCGAGCGTTAAGTGAAGACTGCAACCTCTCACTCGCTCGAGTGTTGTGCCTAGTCCTTCCATTGCCCTCCTAGGAGTGGGGGAAAGATAGACAACCACTGCTCCATACCCGTACCGTCCATCCCCCTTCGGTATGACTATCTCTAATACATAACTTCAGCTCGAGTTGTCCAAGTAAAGAGAAATGAGGGGCCTTTGAATCGGAGCTTTTCGAAGAAAGATGGTTCGGAAAGTTAATGGCGGGCAATCTTACGTGATTCTGCCGGAAGGCTTCCCTATGAAGCGTTTCTTGGATTCGAGATAATTGATTTGGCATTTGGAAAAGCTCATCGAGAGCTTCAATATGGTCCCCTATCTTCCTTATGATGCCCGCTCGACCATATACAACACACATGATGTGTGACACATCCAACATAACGCACGAAAGTTTGACGTAAACTAGTTACATACGGACGCGCGCTTACTGCAGATCGCTTACGTTCTTACGCTTTCGCTATCGCTTACGCTTACCGCGCTTACGCGCTTACTCCTTCCACTACGAAATCGAATGAAGTTACGAATAACAGTTTTGCTGTCTTTCAAGACCACCAGCCGTGACCAACAATGAAGCCATCGGAGCTCGGAGCCTCTACCACTCTTGAAGCGAGTTGCAAATGTTTTTTACTATATCGAAGCCGTTTAAGCCGGCCATAGTCTGCTGGTCTGCAAATTTCCGTGCGGTGATCCTCTGACATCGTGAGCCTATTGATTACGGTTTGACAACTTCATTCAACTCAAAGCTCATAAATGCAGTGACCAACATCTGTTAGCATCAAGGAGTGGCATGCAACAAATATCTCCCTCTCCAGAATATGCTGCTCTTGCTGAGAATAGCTCGTGGACCTCTCATGAAGTCCGTTCGGGTTTCGTCACTTCACAACATATTTCATCCATTTCATGTCCTTTCCTTCACGCCTTCACCTTATCATACCGATAATGTACCTCTAAAGAGAGAATAAGAGACTAACACAGATGACGACGACTCACCCTGTATTGCAGTTCACTGAGCTTCTCAACTCCTTTGCTCACAGATCACGATCACTAATATAGCACAACGACATCGAGGCTTCGCTTATCGCGAATTCGCCTGAAAGTGATCCTAAATGCCATCATGACGAGAAACGGAATCACCTTTGGTAAACAACTGAATTTTACATCGTCCCCTACCCCCCTCGTTCGCTAACCGTTTAATCAGTCCTCGGAATAATCAAGTCTCGTTTTCAACGGTTGACGGTACAAGCCCCTCAGCGACGTCATCTAACGATGAACGCATATACTAATTTCACTTCTAAATATTTGTTGCTAATTTAAACACATTCATACCAACACAAATCGATGGGAGGTCTCGATCTACTGTCTACTTTGCGTGGCCCGCAGTGATAACAACAACGAGGGGATAAGCAAGAGGTTGCAAAGGCATCAGAGAGCAGCTACATGGCAGTCAACTGTGCCTACTTCTCTTCTGCACACCAGAGACGAAATTTTTGATAAAAATAATCACGAAGCGAACCACACTCATTCATATCAAAAAACCTTGAGGTTTTCAGCGCACTAGCATTGCATTGGCAAATGTAATCAAACTCGCATGACGAGATTTTCGTTTTCACTCCAAAGCTCGAGCAACACGATTACGGACACGTTTAAAAGTCTTGGTCAGCCAGTCCAACGGAAGGCACTGGTGACTACCCCTTCGACCAGGATAAGCCCTTTGAGCGAGAACAAGATGTGGTGGAGGTGCATAGAAATGCATTGGTTTCCCATGACGACACATTGGGACGTAACGTACCGGTCCTTGCATGCGATCGTAATCATTCCAATAGATCGGTGTAGCAAGCGCACGTAACTGCGCCCGGTGATACTCCACAGTCCCGAACACGGGCTCGTTCTGACTGAGAGGAAATGACGATGAAAAGGGGTGAAACTACAACGCGGCCAACTAGACTTACTTGAGCCTTCTACTCCTTATTGCTTTCACGAATCTCACGTCAACCTCGCGATCATCGATATTCGTATTGATTGCTAAGCCGACAAGTTCGGGCTTTTTTCTCAACTTGCAGGCACCTCCAGTAGGTTGATCAGCAGATGCTGGTGACGACGATGTGGTATCCATCGAGGGCGGGGCCTCATGTCTCTTAGCCACTGGAGGCAACTGCCTCATTGGTGGAAGAAAAGTGCACGACGGAAAGTCATCCGATGAATCGGACGTATCATCAGATAACGTCACCTTGGCTAGGTACTCCATGGGGGGCTCGGCAGTAGCAAGAGTGGGAGCTCTCGGGAACCTTGTCCCATCGCAACAGATCAGCATAGAGTCGTCGTTGTAGCCGAATGGAGCTCGACCAGCCCTAGGAGGGGGAGGTGGCGACAGAGGGTTTTGCAGCTCTTCAGCCGCGTTGGAATATGAGCTTGCATTTGCAGTGGTCATTTTTGCACAAGTATTCCAATCAACTGAATACTGGGAAAAGGCATTTGGCAACCGCCCAGTTCGACATTCGCGACAACACACGGCGACAACATACTCACACTAGTCGAGCTAATACGAACCATACTGAATCACAACTATGACAGGATTAGGACCATCATAAACCCGTCGAAGGGTGATGATCACCTTCCTACCACGACCGTTCCAGGCTTACATACCCCACAATTGCTACCGACATTGTCCGTTCGATAAAATTAATTTACCAAATCAGTTGCGGCAAGTCCTTGAATACCCTCATGGAGACCGATTGTCTGCAAAACCGCCTCAAATCGACCCGAATCCTGCGATCGTTGAAATCTCGCTCGCCGTTTAGAGGCGAGCGATGTCTACCCGACACTTCCAAAACGGCGTCTACTCTCGTGGCGTCACTCACCTCGCCGCAAATTTCTAATCATACCATGGATTTCCCACCTTACCACTGTTTAATCGGGGGTAAATTATAAAAGAAGAGAGGTTTGTCGCTCGCTCTCAGCAGTTCGGGTTTTTGGTTGCCTTTGGTTGCAGCTTTTCCTGTATACAGTTCGGGTTTCTGGTTGCCTTGTCGGGATTCGGGTTTACCCTTCAACTTGTCCCCCTTGGATTTTGTCGTTCTTCGTTGATCGGGATAGGCCGGGTCACTTCTGTTTCTCGAAATGGCCCGCATTGCCCGTAGAACGACACCAACGTTCGCAGACTCGCTCGATCTGTCAATTTGGCACAGCGTTCATGTACAGCGCGGTGCTTGGCAGTGCCAAGGCTTGGCAGTTAAGCACCGCGCTGTGCCCGATCCGCACGACGAGAATCTGCAGGCACTGTGATGACTACTCGCAGTTGTGTGGAGCAGAAGCCTCCAGCAAGCATACCGGAAGGTGAGTATTGCCTACTAGGCAGGGAAGGAACTCGCGATGGTAGCAACAGCAGTAAAATGGTCGTAGTAATGATGGTAGTAACAATTCAGTACTACTGAACGTTTTCTTGGATGGTCGTATAGAATGAGCAGAGTGTCTACGCCACCGTCTCCACGTCATACCTGCCATCGTCAACGTCGATGGAAGGCAGCAGTATGGAACGGCCCTTCCGGGAAGGGCCTGCCCTACCAGAGGCAGAAGACATGGAGCTGTTTGCTATCTGAACAACGTATTCCGTCAGTGACAGACTGTCACACTTGCTCCCTGCGAGGTAGACGAGGCGGCACCTAATCACCTCTCCACATGTACTCTAGCAGATTGAGTCCAGCTGCTTGAGTCTAACGCCATGAATGAAGCCACCGATCAGCTGCAAGCGGATCAGTGAACCGCGCAATGTCGATCGGTGGCTTCATCCCGCCTAGATATCATCCAAGACAGGATTAGACTGTAACTGCTGTCTTGAGAGTACCAAAGGCCATCGGAGTTGGTTTCAGCGAAACCGTCGTTCTGCGCTGATCATGCAGTTGTCATGCAGTCTGCCTGACACTCCGGATATTTACTGATGGTTTCAAATTCCCCCATGGCTTACCCGTCCACCCAGGACGAGTCCTTTTTTCGTCTATCCTTTTACCCCAGGCAACACAGGTGCTACCCCTTTGCATGTTTTGGTTAAACCTCAGCGTGTCTTGCATCACCTAGGATTCTGCGCAGACCGTGGCAGGAATACCCATTCTAAAGGAAGGCGCTGTCCATCTCTAACATCGGCAAAGTCAAATTCATAGCGACTAAGACAGCCAGAAGATCTCGCGAGATTCGTCAACAGACCGATTTGTCATTAGCGCTCGCCCGAAATTACTCGAGTCTCTCGTGAGACCACGAGTAGTCCTCACAAGGTAGTTCATTCGTTGAGCTAGCGCATGCTGCTCGTATTTTGAGTCACTGTCACATTGATATTTCTTTCTACTCTTCTTCGGTGATCTCCAGGGAAGGTCACCAGGAGACTTCGGTCGTGGTCGCTGTTGCTCATGTTGCATTTCGTATCCTTCAGTCACATCTTCTAGTTTCCCATCAATGTTGCCAACCCTAACTAGAGGCAATAGCTGCTATACTCTAATACGCCGTGGTGTATTACCAATGGCTAATGCTGCTATGTTTTCTACCCTCCACAGGAACCCCCGAGTCTTCGTCCCTAGAGGCCTGCAAGTTCGCCATCTCAACTTACATGAGCATCAATCGCTCAACGTTTTCAAGAAATATGGTGTCTGTGTACCGCATGGGTACTATGCTAAGACTCCGGAAGAGGCTGAACAGTTTGCCAAGGCATTGGGTGGTGGAGACGTGGTCGTAAAGGCTCAGGTAGGCGTTAAGATCAAAGTAGACCCTCTATGGGTTGTCTCTCTGTTCAGGTGCTCGCTGGTGGTCGGGGTCGTGGTCACTTCAAGGAAAATGGCTTCCAAGGAGGTGTTCATATCGTCAAGAATCCTATCGAGGCTAAAGATTTGGCCTCCAAAATGATAGGCAACACCCTTGTGACCAAGCAAACTGGGGAGGCTGGTAAAATCTGTAACGGCGTCTTCCTTTCCGAGAGGTTCCAGATAGCCTCAGAGAAGTACTTTGCCATTCTTATGGATCGTTCCTTTGGTGGACCAGTCATGGTTGGGTCGAAGTATGGTGGGATGAGTATAGAGGATGTTGCCGCTGAACACCCCGAGGCGATCATCAAGATTCCTGTTGACATCAATAGTGGTATTTCTGATGGTGAGGCCAGAGAGATGGCCGAGAAGATCGACTTCGAGGGTGAGATCGTCGACGAAGCTGTCATTGCCATCAAGGCTCTCTACGAGACATTCCGTCAGTCGGATTGTACTATGGTCGAGATCAATCCCCTCGCTGAGACCAAAGATGGCCGTGTTATGGTATGCGATGCTAAAGTCAATTTTGATGACAATGCTCAGTTCCGTCAGAAGGATATTTTTTCACAGAGGGATATTACCCAGGAGGACCCCAGAGAAGTAGCAGCCTCCAAATGGGATCTCAACTACATTGGTTTGGATGGCAACATTGGGTGCATGGTCAATGGTGCTGGCCTCGCCATGGCTACCATGGATCTCCTTTCTCTCAAGGGAGGTAGTCCTGCCAACTTCCTGGATGTCGGTGGTGCTGCGGAAACTGATCAAGTCAGAGCCGCGTTCGAGATTCTGGAGAAGGACCCCAAGGTGAAGAGTATTTTGGTGAATATCTTTGGTGGTATCATGAGATGTGATGTCATCGCTCAAGGCGTCGTTCAAGCGATGAGTGAACTGAACATGGAAAAGCCTATTGTCATCCGTCTGGTTGGCACCAACGTGGAGCAAGGCAAGAAGATCATTAAGGATGCGGGACTCAAGGTTTACGCTTTTGATGATCTCAATGAAGCAGCGGCTAAGGCTGTCGAGCTGTCCAATCAATAATCGTTCTATCAGTGGCGGTACCCCAAGCACGGTTGGTCCATTTTTATTATTCATGCCACAGCTCTCATCATATGCTAATATTGGTGCCATTTTACATTGTCTTTTTATTCACTTCGTTTAGTTGATAGTTGGTATTGGGTGGATCAAAGGGCGTAGTTAAGGCTACTTATAATACTTCGAATCTCACAGATGAAAGTGTGGAATTGTTCATCTATCATGACCGGATCACGTCCCTAAGCGAGTGTGGGTCAGGAATAGATTTAATAGCATTTCTAGAGGGTAGTCACGTGCTTTGTTCACGGAGTGTATCATATAATTGTCATTTTGGTGACGATTCCAAATGGTTACAACACAAAACCAATAAACTGTATTGGAAATGCGGCAAGCGTTCGTAATGGGGTTTGCAGAACGATAGGGATCTGTTTCCCATGAGGTTACTATCATAACCGGAATGGTGTATTCCATGAACTCCAAACTCAAAAACATCAGCCATTATCAGCTTTCAGTTCTATCTATCACATGCTCTTCTTATTCGACCAGGGTAACCCAATTACACTTAGTTTGACCACGTTTGTGGCAATACCCAACTTGTCACGAACTGGCTACTGCTACTGCTGCTGTTGCTCTACAGAGGGCAGATAAATATTGTACACTGCCTACTTCTACATATCAGTGTGGGAGAACATACACATGGTTCGCTACATATCTTCGTAACCGTATGGAAATTCTGAGAAAATTCTACCCGAATTCGCATGTAAACTTCCATGGTATGCGAGGACACTCCTTAACTCAGCTGAGGAAAGCGAAAATATATTCCTCCAACACTACTGCATGCGACCAGCCATGGGAAGAAAGCAATGCTTTGGTGGACAACCTCTTTCAACCACACTAAACTGCATAACAAAAGAATCAACAACAAAGTAACATACATATAGTAGATACAATAGTATAGACAGTAAATAGACTACCGCGCATAAGGAGCGGAAGAGTGAGATTTATCACAAGCACTTCTAACTATCAACTTCACTCAGAAACCCGAAGGACCCCTCGCAATTCAAGCTGTGTTTGGTTTCCAGACAGTTCCAGCTCGAGGACCCTGAGTGCCTCTAAAGGGTGTTTCCCTTCTAGCATGTCATTGCTGTCCTTAGCAGAGGCCTGTGGTGACACGCCGAGTGTGATGTGGGGATACAAGTTGCCGCATGGTACGGCTTGTAGGAACTGCACTGGCGCCGCACATACACCCACATCAGAGCACACAGCGAAGGCCGTCGTGAACCCGAACGAGTCACCAATACGTGGCCATAACTGTCGTACCAGGCTCATATTGTAATGATCGAACGCATTGGAGCTGTCCACATAGAGCAAAGTAACGTGGAACTCATCCTTAGGCACGATTCCTTTCGTCGCCATATACCCCCAACCCTTCCCCACAGCTCTTCTGAGTAATCGTTGAGACTCTCTAGTTAATTCAAGCTGGAACATACTGCGGCCAACCAATGACAGTAGGTTTTCACCACTACCAGTAGTAGTGCCGGACCAGGAGGTATGCTGCTGCGGTCGATAACACTCACTAGGAGGACGCCGACGAGGCTGTCCTCCTTTCCCTGTACCGACAGGTACTATATTCTTCTCGATCTTAGCGACCTCCCGCATCGCCACAGTTATTTCCTCTTCAGAAAACTCGTCCCCTTTCCCAAGTACCTCCAGAGTTCTCTCCACCATTTCCCTCCGAGGCAAGGTCACATCGATATCGCAGAGCTTGGACACCGAGAACTGCGCCAACTCCTCCTTGCTGATAGGCTCAGCTTGGGAAGCCGTGGAGCCCAGGATGAAGTCAATGTCAGCGTACCGGTCAATCGACTGAACCGATCACATGAAAAAATTTCTCACATAGCATAACCCACCTTATGTTTTCCATGCCGATTCCGCACATTCTTCGCGCATACGTCGAAGTACTTCCTTCCCTTGATTGGGTCGAATGGTGACACGTCCTCCTCTCCTGTACTACCCGCTGTATCACCAGGATGCGACCATTGTAAATAAATGATCTCAGGATACTCCCCATCACAAGGACATATAGCGTTGTAGATATCAGACCTGATGAAAGTTAGTCCCTCCGAAGTCACTGGCAGTTGTCTTCACTGACCTATGCCTCAGCTGCGTATTAATTCTATCCACCATAACGTATTCAGGATCACCATAATACGTGCACTCCGAGAGCTTCTCCAGAAACTTCCCTTTAGCATTCCCACCACCCTTGCTAGCCGTACGGAACTCATCCTGATTCAACCATATCCCCTTCAGCAGTAGAGCGACGGTCCGCATGGTAGTGCCTAATACCCCACCTCGACGTCCCACAGGCTCCTACACTACTACTTTTTCCACTCCCCTGCAGGCCTCTAGATACCACAACAACCTGCTTTCGCCTTTTACACTTCTTACTTCCCCTTTGCTCTGACAGACCCCTCGGGGATACCGCATTTGCTGCCTGTCCATGGTCCGGACTAGAGCACGGCAATACACACCCTTGCACCATGTGGTCAGGTGAGACGTCGCTCATTATGGACACCGAGCCACTACTGCTACTGCTACTTGATGATGTTGATACCGCCCTTCTCCTCGCTATCCCTTCCTTGTCATTCACATTCGACATGGCTGCGCCCACGTTTCGCAGAGAGAAATCAAAAGAACAAAATACAAGCCTGATATAGCAATACCAAACACACAACTTGTCGCCGTCACATTGATGATATCAACACTACCCCTCGCCGACCATGGTATTAAAAGTAGAAGCATTGGCATGCTACATAGGAAAGCATTGTCGTCAATAGCATGACATTTACACGCCCCCGACAGAGTAACTGAAGTAGCTACTATCTTCAACCATCAGAGTGAGAAACCGCAGTAGCAGATGTCGGTCGCGGGTATTCGCCCGTGGGAGCAACCCAGAGGTCCTCTCTAAGTAGTTCACCCCAACGAGTATGTCCAGACTATCCATCTCACTCTCTATACCACTCATCGCTATATTCGTCCGCAGCTCCATAAGATCTGCCACTTCCACCTGGTCTATAAGGATCAACTCGGACCCCCCTCGGCCAATGTGGACTCCTACGAAGGGCTGGCGTCTCCGAACCGGTCCGATAACTCCATCCGGATGTAACAAAGAGGGCATTGTATAGCACTCTACCGGCAACTGATCCCACAGTGACGGAAAAAGCTCATCCTCATCAAGAGTGGAGCGTGGCCGCATGCTATCAAATGGCTTCACAAAGGGCACCTAGGATAGACCCGTCTGAACTGTGACGACATTTGATATCAGGGGTGGAGAACATGCACTACTCAACTACTCGGATATGTACCAACGAGAAAACTGGGGGAAGTTTTGTAGGTTTTCATACACTCCTACTCTAAGTCGTGTGTGAATTCTCGCAGTGCGGTGAGGAAACTCCTGAACTCAGCTGAGAAAACCAAACGTATATTCCGACGTGATAGCCGACATTCCCACCACTACTTGTTCTTCCTCAGAGTGCCCCCTTGGTGAGGTAATTGCGTACTGGGAGCCTAAAGACTCCGGCCCGCTTCCACTCTTGAGATCATCCATAACAACTGTATGTGGAAGGTAAAGTACGGTACGATAGCGGCTGCTCTACATTGCTACCAATCAGCCGTATCTTGCTTCCGATGGTGATGGTGATACATTGTGTTCTTGTATCACCAACACGCCATCACGCTCATCCATGATCGTCGGGAGGTACGGTTTCTCCAATTTAGAGGGACGAAGGTGTGTGATACACTCCATGACGAAGTCCCATGATACCACACTTCCTCCAATTCATTGCAAGCTAATGCGCCCTCAGGCAATGCCGACTGGCCTGTTGATATCGATACCGCCATCAGGACCAGGAGCAAGAGGCAGTCAGCGCTGGCACACCAAGAATGCAAGGAAACCCGAATGCAGCTGAGGCGTTAGGCATCTATCGAGCGCCATATGCATGGTAACTCCTGATAATACGCCTACCCATAACTCGGTTAGGGTCTCCAGTCAGCCTGCAGTTGATCTACCTTCTCTGTAAAGCCCTCGTCGAGCTCCCTCCAACGCTGTATGAACGCTTCACATATCCATATTGTGCACTGAGGTAACGTCAAACGCAGAATCGGCTACATAGGGGAAAGCCGTATTGGTTTTGACTTGGTACTCACTAGAGGTGGTCAAAGTGTCCCCAGTTGATTTCAGTGACCAACATCAGCCTCCTCAACCACACATCGTATGCCCTCTTCGCGACAGCAAGAAGGATGGCATCCCACGCCAGCCCTCACTTCGTTGAGGGCCGTGACCGAACAGCGGCTTCATGACACTCCCGCCTGCAGGAACACCCATAAGAAATCCTTTGTGATGATCTGGGCGCTGGAGGGCTTTCAAATGGCACCTTTGTTGCCGCGAAATTACGAAGGATGGATCCTTTGTTACGCCACCCTGTACAACATGAGCCGGCGAATTCCGTGGCGAGTGACTGTCACTGAGTGATGTAAGTTTTCTGGAAAAACTCGATGGCGAGGAGCCTAGACTGATTGCATCATCATCCTGCCCACATCTACAGTGACGCTGCCCTCCACCGCTTCCTTCTCCTCCTCCGTGTTTTCCCCCCTTAACCTCTTTCCCTCCTAATGTCTGTAACTAGGTCTCCTGCTTTCGACGCTGCATTGCACGTTATCAAAGGAGCTGTTTGCACGGTAATGCAGAAGGATTGGGGAAAGGGCAGAGAACAGTCGATGTGGCCTCAGGTTTTACGCATTCCTACTGGCCGGACTACTGAAAGAGTATCCCCACATCTAGGTGGTGGTAAGCTCACTCTGAACTCGATCAAGGTACTACTACGTCCTTGCGGTCAGCTGTTAATACCTTTTTTCAGGAAGAGCCCACGGAGGAGCAGAAGGAGTTGATAGCCACGAACGTTTACAACAAGGTGGAGGAAAATGCGCCTTTCAAAGTAGGCCATCTTGCAATGTAGTTTTCTCCAGTCACTTTAGTCAGGTTTTCACTGGAGTTCCTCGTGACCTTGCTGAGAGGAAATACTTCGACACCATGTACGACAGCTTCAAAGTCCCCGAGTCGGTGAAAGAGCTGCGGTTGGTGTACTTGGAACAGTGGAATCTCAACTGCAATGTAATGCTAGATGGAAGCGGTTCCGGTGTAAACCTACTCCTCGGTAGGTCCATCCTATCATCAAGTCGACTGGTCTCTTGGGCGAGGTGAATCTGACGCATTGGAAGTATTCTGCCAAGAAGGCCACCTTGGAGATTTCCTTCACTGGTGGGCACAGCATCCGTTGCGATTCATCATTGACGTTTCCTCAGTGGAACCTAGTTGTGATGTTTTCGAGATGGCAGAGGAGGACGGTAATGTTGAGGATCTTCCTTCGCTTGATATCGCGGTGCCCTACGTTCCTGATGGTACTATCACTTATCATTTCAAGGGCGTAATAGTCGTTACTCTCGCAGAACAACTTGACCAAAATAGAGTTTTGGGAGTATCGAACTGTCAGAAGGTCACCCCTTGGGAGGTTGAGGGCAGCGATGAGGTACTATCACTCAAATTTAGGTGGCCATGATAGGATTTTTCTGTAGGGTATCGACTACGATAAGCTGATCCGTGATTTTGGCTGCTCACCGATTGACCAGAAACTCATTGACAGGATGGAGAAGTTGACTGGGAAGAAGGCACATCGCTTCCTTAGAAGAGGGCTCTTCTTCTCCCACCGGGACTTGGGTATTTTACTCGATAAATATGAGAGAGGTATTAATAAAGTCGGCTATACTGCTTCTCTGCAGTGAGACCCCTTAGGTATCCCCTTCTACCTCTACACTGGTCGTGGCCCCTCTTCTGAGTCCCTTCATCTCGGACATTTGGTCCCTTTCCAATTCACCAAGTGGTTGCAGGTGAGCTCCAATCTGATATCGCGGGCCGCATTAGTCTGTACCCAACAGGATACCTTCGACGTCCCACTGGTTATCCAACTGACTGATGATGAGAAGTTCTTCTTTAAAGACTATCTGGTGAGTTCCGCGAGTTGATTTCTGCGAACCAAGCAATGCGAGTGGACAACACTCCTTGGCGGGACAATTTAAAAGCCTTAAACTGATCCTTCATGGGCTGTTATTATGCATCGATGCGAATCTAAACAAGCCGTGTTGTCGGCTGTGGACTTCAAACTCACAAACATCCAACAGTTATACATATAGAGATTTCCGAGAATGAAAGTTTAGGGAATGCTTCTGAAACATTGACGATCGATTCATATTGTTGTCATGTTGCAATTACTCGAAGTTGACTCTCGAACTATCAAGATATTCGCATAACTGTAGTCACTTGAAGAAGCTCATCGATTGGCCTATGAGAATGCCAAGGACATTATCGCTTGCGGCTTCGACATGGACAAGACCTTCATCTTCTCCGACTTGGACTATATGGGAACTATGTAATATCGAAAAACGCATAGTAGTGCTGTCATTCGATAAGTAGGTACCCGAATGTGTGTAAAATTCAAAAGCTAGTTACTTATAATCAAGCACGAGGGGCTTTCGGTTTTACGGGTAGGAGAAGACTAAGGCGTAGGAGGGGATAGTATGTGATGATGATTATGGCAGGTTCCGATAGTGTTGGTAAGTCTAGTTTCTGTGCTATTCAAGCTAGTCCTTCCTTCTCTACAACTTTCCCATCCATCTTTGGTGACCGTAAAGACATCATGTGCCTCATCCCCCAGGCCATTGACCAAGACCCCTATTTTCGGGTTACTAGGTAGGTTTGTGGTGCTAGTTAGTTGGTGGAGAGATCTGGTAGGGATGTGGCACCTCGAATGGGTATGCTTAAGCCGGCGCTTATTCACTCGAAGTTCTTCCCGGCCTTGCGAGGCCACAAGACGAAGATGAGTGGTAGCGTTGGAAATACTACCATTATGGTCACTGATAGCAAGAAGGAGGTACTATGGAGAGCTGGGGAGTGTGAGAGTACTATCACTAATGCAGATTAAAAATAAGATTATGAAGTATTGTTTCTCTGGTGGACAAGACTCAGCTGAGGAGCAGAGGAAGTATGGTGCCAATCTTGAGGTTGATGTGGCCTATGAGTATCTTCGGTGAGTTCTCCGGGCCTACTTTGAATCTTACAACAAGCAACCTAAAGATACGTTATGGAGGATGATGAGAAGTTCAAGCAAATAGGGGAGGATTATTCTTCCGGAAAGTTGCTCACGGGAGAGGTACTAAGAAGGCTCTGGTCACGGGTTGGGGTATTGCTGCCGTACCAGGTGAAGAACATTTTGGTGGAGGAGCTGGTGAACTTGACTAAGGCTCACCAAGAGGCTCGGGCTAAGGTGACTGATGATGTGGTGAGGGAGTTCATGAACCCAAACCGGTAATATCAGTAGTAGTGAAGGGAGAGAGGATCGTCTTGGTGGTGCCTTAGGCCATCTCTAGCCAAATTCAAGTCTATTGGTAAGGATCGCAAGGTCAGCCATAGTCACTGAGTTTCTGCCGATATCACTGCGCGACAGAGGTATTATGCAGCGTTCTGGATACGCCTCTTGTGGACGTCTTATTCATTGTCAATGTGTTGAGTTGTAGTAGTATTATGTAGGTGAGTATTCGAAGCTAGTTTTTCTGCATGGTATGAGGGGTGTATCGCCATTAAGATTGTCCAGTCTGTTTATACTGTTATCGTTGAGCTGCTGTTGGTTACAGCTGTCTCATGCAGCTGAGGAAGGTGGCAAGCAGGAGTTGTATGCCCGTCCAGCAGGAGGCACCGTAGATCAGCGTACTGATGAAATACCCACTTATAGTGCTGAACCGGTAATAGGGGGGGGGGGGGGGTGTTAAATCGCATACCGATATTCGCTCTGCTCGTGTCGCGGAATTGTGATTGTCTTCTCTCTTTGCAGGTCTTGTCTAAGTACTCAGACATGCGTTCGAATACGAAAATTCCCACGTCAACGGTGAAGGAAGAGACCGTTGAGAAAGGGTATACTGACGGCCATCCTCCTACACCTATGACTGTCACTGCCACGCCCGTCTCGGCGACCTCTGGTATTCCGGGGGCTATTCCTGTAGCTAGGTCGACTAAGGAGGGTTCGGCTAGGGCTACAGCGGCACGAGATGGTGCTGATCATTTGGTGAGTCCGTCGAACCATACGACTACTATCATTGACGAGGTCGCAACGAGTCGTGAGTCTCCTCAAGTGTTGGGGACGAATAGCGGAGCGAGTGGTATCCCTAAGGCAGTATCGACGGCTAAGGGAGAGGGTAATGATGAGGCTGTGTGGGAAGAAGAGGATCGCGTGAGACGGGAAAACGCTGAGAAATTACTTAAGGACGCGCAGGAGCGGTTGAAGAAGGAGAGCGAAGAGAAAGAAGAAGAGGAGGCTAGAATGCGAGAGGAGGAAGAGGACCGGCGCGCGAGGGAAGCATACGATCGAAAGAAGGAGGAGGCTGAACGTAAAGCGCGAGTGGAGGCCGAGTCGAGGAAGGAGGTAGAACGGAAGGAGCGGGAGGAGAAGGAACGGAAGGAGAAGGAGAAGGAGGAAGCTGAGTTGAAAGAGAGAGAAGAGGCGGAGCGGAAGGAGAGAGAGGAGGCTGATCGTAAGAAGAAAGAGGCGGAGCGGAAGGAGAGGGAGGAGGCTGATCGTAAGAAGAAAGAAGCGGAGCGGAAGGAAAAGGAGGAGATTGAACGGAAGGCGAGGGAGGAGGCCGATCGTAAGAAAAGAGAGGCGGAGCGGCAGGAGAGGGAGGAGGCCGACCATAGAAGGGAAGAGGCCGAAAAGAGAGAGAAGGAAGAGGCTGAACGGAAGGAGAGGGAGGAAGCCGATCGTAAGAAGAGAGAGGCTGAACGGAAGAGAAAGGAGGAGGCTGACGGTAAGGAGAAGGAGGAGGCCGAGCGGAAGGATAAGGAGGAGGCAGAAAGGAAGGCGAAGGAGGAGGCCGACCGTGAGGTGGCCGAGCGGAAAACGAGGGAGGAAGCCGATCGTAAGAAGAGAGAGGCGGAGGAGACTGAACGGAATGAGAGGGAGGAGTTTGACCGTAGGAGGCAACAGGCCGAACGGAAGGAGAAGGAAGCCAAGCTGAAGGAAGAGGCTGAGCGAGAGAAGGAGATCGAACGGGAAGGGGGAGAAGTTGTGCGGAATGGGACAGACCTGTATGAGGTGGAGCATGCTAATCCGAGGAAGGAGGCAGAGGAGGAAATAGAGGGAGGATCTCAAGTGGTGAAGGAGGAGGAGGAACATGATGCTACTGAGTCGCCTCTTGCGAATTCTACGAAAGCAGATAGTGAGAGGGGCCGTGTCCAAGACCAGCAGGAACGCGTTGAGGAGGATCAGCTGAAGGATGCAGGAGGTAGAGTTGATATTCCAGCTGAGGTTACCGACCTCAACCAGGACGTAGAAGGAGTGTCGTTCGGTGATATGGTGAAGGATACAGCTACGAGAGCTGCCATGGTGACTAGGGAGTTATGGATGCTCTATGGCGAGCCTGCTAAGGTGGAGGTTCTGCATGCTACGGGCATCGACTCTCCCCTATTGGAAGTCTATGTGGCTTCTAGTCTACTCTTCCTCTCTATCGTATGGGCGCTATTGAAGAGGAGGTCCTTGTCATTGCCTAAGGCTGATGACGGTGTCATTTGGAGGTTCAGAGCTTCCCGTCTTGAGAGACCTGTATGTTCGACTGCTGCGTGCGCGCCAGCTGCTGCTGCTGTGAACACGTCGAGTGGAGGGATAAATGAGGAGCAGTTTATGCAACTCCTACAGCAGGTATTAATTCTGGAGTGATGATGGTGTTGCATATGCACGTGCTCAACAATATGAAATTTCTGAGAAAAAATTCGGATAATTCTCATTGGTTTCTGTACATTTCTGTTCGAATTCGTATATAAACTCCTATAATTAGTGAGGAAACTCCTGAGCTCAGTTGAGGGATATTTTCCAACACTACAGTGATTACCTTGTTGACCAGGTTCAGTACTTGGCACAGATGGCAAATTACACAACACAGAGTCTCCAAACCTTTATGGAAGAATCTCAGGTAGTAGTGGTGACAGTATTTGTGGTGTCACCAGTCGTTTTGGTCATAGGCCAAGTTCAACAGCTTGATATGCGATATAGCGGTGTTGAAGCAAGATCTGGATGAGGTGGACTGTGAACTCCTATCTTCGAGCCAACAGGTAGTCAGAAGTAGCGGTTCCACGGGAACTCCTTAGGCGATTAGTTGTTATACGCATCTCGACGAGCGCGTAGTCAACAGCGGAGTCATGTGGTGATGGGCTCAGGTTATTGAGCACCTCACATGCCGTTCCCTCTCGAATCTGACCCAAGAGGAGCGATCGTCCCTCAATGAGGTCAGCGACCTTAAGAAGATTACATCGCCTAAGGAGGACGGTGATGATCAAAGTGTGGAGGAAAAGGAAAGTAAAACAAACACGGTCAAACTCGAATGCATAACAATAGTAAAATTGTGCTTGTGTGCATTCGGTTTATGTAGTTAGGAATGGCCCTGATAGTGTTGATGGTATACGACCCGTGAAATTGAGAGAGAGGGAGAATCACTATCATTGCGTCGAGGACTAATCAGACTCAGAATATGCCATCGACTTCGGAAATATGCGTATTGCTAGACGGAGGCGCGGTGGTGATGTCGGAAGAAATATCTTGTTCTTGGAACGAACAGAATAGTGCGGGGAGTCATATTTATATCGTTTGCCTCTCTCCTAGTGATTATACATCACTACGGATAGAACTGTGTTGTGATCAGATGAATCTCCACAGTATGCAAATGGTGGTGTGCCAAGCCTTCCGGTGGGAGCTACTGCTGACAGAAGACCGCACACTTTAGCAGACACTTCCATCTCGTCACCAGTGGGGGGTGTTCACCCGCCCGTCGCTTCTGGTGGTCCGGTGTCACCAGTCGCGGAGACGATGAAATCCAGCATCGCCTCTCCTGGCGTCCATGCGGCCTTCACAGGGCCCAACTACTCACCTGATGCTACTCCAAGTCCGCCTCCTGCACCTCATCATGAACAACAACCAAAGACAGAATGGGACGCAAGTCCTAGTGTACAGATTCCAGGAGGTAATCCGAAAGGAAGATCGCTGGTCTCCATGTACGTTCACATGGTTCAGGTCCACTGTCTGTCAGCGCACCTTCGAACGGCGTGCACCCCCCTACTGCTGGGCCGACCGCTTCTGTCGCGGCCCCGAGCCCCCAGAACACATCGAGCCCTGCAGTGTCATCATCCAGCGCTCCGCCGCAGCCGGTGCCAGCGGCGGCTCCTGTTGCGGGATATGATGATCACAAGCCGGATACCACAATGCAGTCTGCTGAGGCGTCACCATTGGCGTCACCGCCGAGCAATGGGGTTCCCGCGGCTTTCGCTCAACCGGCCCGGTTCCGCCCAGCACCAAAGAGAATGCCTCAGGCACGGAGACAACGACCTCATCCAGTTCAGGGAGCAACAGGTAGGGAAGCCGAATTATCTAAGACCTAATCTGGGGCGTCGCTTGGGTTATTCTTCTGTTGGTGTTGCACTTCCCTTTGAACAGATCCTTTCGCGTCATTGATGCAAGTGACGGGTACCGCTGGAGGCCCTGCCAGGGTACAGAACAAGGCGTATAGTGGTCCACCACCACCACAGTAGAAGCCGATACCGTCTGATGGCGCTGGGGATGTATGTTGAATGGAGGCGTTAATGAAGGTCTCTGCTAGCCGCACTGAGCCACGTGTGGCCAGCTGTGCTGGTTGCCGTATCGTCTTCAGTGATATAGCCGATGACAACATTCCTGTTTTACCCTTTTGAAAAAGTGTGGGGACTTGTGTCGTCAGTTACGGGAGGGTTATATCTCCGAGCATCGGTTTTTGTATGAACTCCTCATCCTCGAATTCTCAGCTAACACCAGACCGATCGCCCATCGATGTCGATCGCAGTTCTAGGAGCACGCCTTTTGGGAGACTCCATGGTCTCAAGCGGTCATGTAGTGGCAACCGTGATAAGCGGCATATGACAAGCCCGAGGCGTAACGAGGATAGATACGGAAGGTCTCCTGGTATCAGTAATATACTGTGTATTCACATCGGCACTGAGTGGTGATTTCAGCCAACTCGATAGGGTCACATGTGGATGGGGATTCGTCGAACTCCCTTGGTACTACAATAGCAGCAGCGACTCCATCGTTGAAGGTTTGGGCTCGGGACTGGAGTCGTGCTGGTGACCACGGACGGATGCGTGATCCGTTGTCGAGGTGGTAGAGGCGGTAGACAGTCGTTGTGGTGAAATGGTGATGGCAGATTGCAGAATCATGACTACTACTATAACTCCTATGGAAAGCTGGAGATACACCAAGAGATGCTGGGCGACCAAGTTCGCACCGACGCCTATCGTAGGGCTATACTCGATAACGCCCATCTGTTCCAAGGCAAGACGGTAGTACAGGACGAAGGCTCTGGCTCATGGGCTTGATGGTGTCATGGCTAGGTATTAGACGTCGGTAGTGGTACCGGCATCCTGAGCATGTTCGCTGCACAAGCTGGAGCTGAGCACGTGTATGATGATGATGACGGGCACTGCTAGTAGTGGTGTATGGGAGTTCATTCAGATACGGTGTGGAATGCTCGGAGATTGTCGAAGTGGCTAGGGCTGTCGCAGCTGCTAATGGATTCGGTGATAGGATAACGTAACTCTTTGCAGCTTATTCGATGACTCATGAGAACTCTATGTGTCAGTGTTGGAATATATGGTCGCTTTCCTCGGCTGAGCTTAGGAATTCCCTCACTTACTATAGAGGTTCGTATGCGAATTTGGGTAGAAGTGTACAGAAATCAATAAGAAATTCCTCAAATTTCTCAAGAATTTTCATATTGTCGTCACCGACACATGTAGTTGACCGTGTGCATTATCTTCCATACTGCTGTAGGTATATAGAGGGCGAAGTCGAGGAGGTTCAGTTGCCCGTTGATAAGGTTGATATCATCGTATCGGAGTGGATGGGTTATTGCCTGCTGTATGAGGCTATGCTTGATTCAGTATAACTGTCATTGCTACTACTGCTACCATACTGGCGGCTCAGGTCCTTTATGCTCGTGACAAGTGGCTTACGTCAGAAGGGTTCATGCTTCCCGACCGAGCTTATCTCTATGTAGCGGGTATCAGTGCGTGGGAAGATGTCGACCTTCGCAATCACTCTTGGGACAATATGGGTGGAATCCGGATGAGCTGTGTGAGGGAGGAGCTTTCCACGGAACCGGTGGTTGTGAGTTTATCGATTATCCACCACTGAATACCACTCCTTTTCCAATTCAGACCGACCTTGCGGTGGATAAGGTCTGTACCTCTACTGCCTGTGCGTTGGAATTGGATCTATCCTCCTGTACATCGGCAGACTTAGCGTTCGTTGCCCAGATCCGACTACCCTCTATACGACGAGACATAGTCACAGGGCTCGTAATGATCCCCCCGTTGATCCCTGTGTACGCATGATGCAGGTTCTATGGTTTGACGTTTCTTTTACCTTCGGCTATGACCCTAGTGCTATGACGTGTAGTATGTCCACAGGACCAGACAGTACCCCTACTCACTGGCGGCAGACAGTCCTCTACTTCGATCACTTCTCTCCACTAGCACATGGGGAGTACGGGTCTAAAGGTACATAGCTATTGGCTTGTCTCTCCTCCCTTTGCAACGGCTACTTCTTAGATGTGCTACTGTGTACGTTGGGAATGCGCAAGTCGCCGCGGAACCCTCGAGACCTTGATATCAAAGTTGTTTATGGCTCTGTCGCCTCAGCTGGAGAGGGTAGGCTTGGTGCGACGGCAAGCTGTGCTTCAGAATACACCAAGATGTACAGGATGCGTTGATAAACGACAGCAGCAGCTCTCGATAGCTCATCCACACTACGTTTCTATTGTGCTTGTGGTTGTCGAGGAGGTTTGTGTTGATATTCTGCCTTTGTGGCATGCATGGTATCCTTTTATTTATTAACGGAAAGTAGGAGCCGGGGGTTCACTATGCTTAGCGCAATCTTCCACACACTCTGGCACTGCCCATCCAGAAGATCTGAGTATTCTCCCGCGGGTTGAGCGTCATGAAGGAATGCTGGGGCGGGTGCGTCGTGTGGCTGGCTATTTGAGGGAGTGGTGTGGTATTGGAAGTTAATCTAGTTGTTGCCAGGATTTGCCTGGGAATTTACTTCTATGAACGAGATGAGATGGCTTTAGACTCAGCTCATGGGATGAAAAAGCGGTACCTTCTGCGACTATCCTGTAGCTCCTATTGGGCGGCCTTGCTACCGACGATCCTAGACTCAGCGTTACGATGAGACGGGTCTGACTCCTATCCTGCACCAATTCTCTTGC